GTTTTTTTTTTTTTTTGTACTGGGAATCGAATTCGGGTCCTTGTGCTTGCGAGGCAGGCACTGGAACCACTGAGCCAAATCCCCAGCCCTCTTCACCAATATAAGCACACAAAATTATTAATCCCCGAAAGCATGCTCAGTTTGACTTGACTTGACTTTTTCCATTTCAGATCCCTAAGCCTTCCTGGTCCTCAGTTTGCACCAGTATGAAATTAATCCATGCAGATGAGCCCCAAGGTTGTTCCCTCCTGGACATTCAAGAGATTGGGGCAGATGTCTAGCTTTTCCCAGGCAGAGCCCACCAAAGTAGGAGGAGACCAGAGAAGGAACAGAGACAGGACATCACCCCATGCCCACATACTGGCTGCTTTCCCTGAGGCTGGGGAAGTAATGCTGGGCCCTCCTCCACCCAGATCTGTTTTATTTTTTCTTTTCTTGCAGATTCTTACCACAATGTGTGCGTTTTCCTTGCCCTGGAGACAGATTCTGTGCTGTTGGCAGTGGGGTGAGTTTCAGAGACACTCCTTAGCTTTTCCATGGGAAGAAGAAGGCAGGAGGGGGGGTGTTCCTGGATGACTGTAGAGCAGAGAGGAGACCCAGACACAAGAGGCACTCAGGACAGGCACGAAGGTCACAGGTGCAGCTCCACTCAAAGCAGCACAAGCCTGGGAAGATGCTGGGAAGTGTGCACAAATCACTCCTGTGAGAGTGAGTAGAACAAACATTGCCTGAGTGGCCATGGACTATTACACTGCCAATTAGTAAACAGTATCACAGGATGCAGTCTGATACGAATGAATCTTAGTAGTGCAACAATAAGTAAAATAATTCAAAAATCACATTAAGCCTTATGCTTTAAAAATAATCTTATGACAATTGAAATCTAACTAGTATCTTCTAGGAATGTTCAAGGTTAAAACCAAATAATATACAAAAAGGAAATAAAAAAGATGATGTATTCAGCCCTCGAGGTAACCCTCTTTTGTGTAGAGGCAGCACTGAAGTGGGAGAAGAAGGTAGGATGGTCAGGGTTGGTCGGAAGTCATGGCCAAGGTCCTGGCTGTGGACCAGGTTCTGTAGCTTCTCATTGTGTCATTAAGTAACTACCTACCTATCTACCCACTACGGGCTGTAGGCCACACCAGGACCAAGGTGGGGAATATCTTCAGACATAGTTCAAGTCTGTCAATGTAAGGACAATGGGCTCAACTCACCAGCATTCTAGTCCTTGCTCCAAGAGATTTCAACAGGGAATAAGAACACTGCTTAGGTAGGAGAATCGAGAGACTATGAAAACTGCCCAGTTAGTGTCTGAATGTATGGAGGACCCCTCTAACCTTGGCTGCTCCTAGTTTGAGTACAGAGCTCAGCTGTGTGACTCCAGCGGGCCATTTAGCACCACCGATTCTCTCTGGAGACCCTGAAGACGGCAGCATTTCACCAGTACACAGTGACTCACAACTGGTCACCATTGTGTATGAACTTCTGCCATTAGAGCCTGTGCCTCCAAAGACATCGGGGATCATTAAGGTCCCCTGAACAGGGAGCACAGAAAGGTGTGAGTGCTACCTGTGATGTCTTGTGAGATGTATTATATCCTATCAGGTGACATCTTCACAGTGTTCAGTGGTCCTCTTATTACAGATATTTGTAGTGACTGGGCCTGAGGGCCAGAGAAGTTCGGATGGAATGACTGGTGGAATGATTAGCCAGGAGAGGAGCTTGGGTCTACCAGAAACAGGCAATGTGTGATGCCTGGGAGGAGGTGCCTAAGGGACCCTCAAAAAGGGGGAGCTTTCTCTCCTGTGCTTTCCTTTCTCTGGCTGAAAGCTACTTCACCGTGACTTCAGTTTTAGCCTTCCTACTCCAGTCCTCACAGGTAGTAGGGCTGAAACCTGAGGACCGCATCTTTTGACCCAAAGACAATTGAGGCCAGATTGGGCAAATATTGCAAGTATACACACTCCTGCTCAAGCAAAGTTTTATAGGGCAGGGGACTGTAGCCAAACTGGAGCTTTGACTGAAGAGGGTGAGCAATTTGTTTTTCATTGAGTTTATTGGTACTTTTTAGGTATACAGTAGAGTTACATTCCTCATTGGGATCTTGTACCTTTGCATGGCAGATCTTGGTTCTCATTTTTCCCCATTCCCCTGCCCTCCCTTCACCCCCTCCTCGCTCCCCTATTTACAAAGAGTTTGTTTCCATTTTTTCCTTTTCTCATATTTTTTCTTTTCCCTTATTTCCTTTTCCCTACCCTTTCCACTTCCCCTACACCTTTATCCCTTTTTTTCCTATTTCACATTGTCAGTTATACAATTTAGATCTTATTCACACTTTTATTTCTTCATACCGGAGAAACTATTCGGTATTTACAAGTGTCTTATTTATTTCACTTAAGAGTATGGCCTCAATGTGCATCCATTTTCCTATGAATGACTCTAGTTTCTCATTCTTTATGGCTGAGTAGTGTTCCATTTTGCAGAAGAACACATCTTATTTATCCAGTCTCCAACTACTGGGCAATTGGGCTGTTTCTACTTTTTAGCTATTATAGAGAGTGAACAACTTATTGAGAGGGTAATCAAAGAAGCCTTCTAAGAAACTAAGGCAGGAAGATCCAAAGTTGAATCTTATCTTGGGCAAATTAGTGCTATAGTCAGACACTGATACAAGCAAAAAATAAAAACTGCTGAAGATTTAGCTCAGTGTTAAAGTCTGGTGCTTATCTCCCACTACTGAAACAATTCTTCTCATCAGACACTTAGACCACTGGGTGGTCACAGTTAACTTGTTGATTTTCTTTGTATCTGGCAACATTGTCAAGTGCACACATCTTGGCCTTGAGCTTGATGGGTGAAGAGGGGCTCAATTTTGCTCTGGAACTGGTGAGTTGCTTTTACAGCTGCTGTCATCATCCTGCACATACATGGTCCTTCTGATGGAGCTAAAGGCCTTTCAGTGCTTGACTGCTGAAAAAGCACAAAGGTGGGATAGAAAAGACATATACCAGCTCCATCTAGCAGCAGGCAAAGTTAACCTGTGTCATACTCTTGATCAAAAAAGTTCTTGATATGTCCATGTGCAGAGGTAGGTAGAACATGTTTCAAGGGTGAGTTAAAGCAGCAAAAGAACAGACACAATATGAAGACAGAGATTCCATTCCTTTTATCCCATTTTACCCAGTCTAAGAAGTCTGTAGGCTGAAGGGAAGAGTCAGTGTTCTCAGCAAAAGCTGCCTTCAAGTCCCCGGATGTCACCCAGGCAGCTGTCGCCATAATCCAGACATTGGAGGTGCTGTCAGGAGCAAAGCTGGTGGGAAGCTAATAATGTGATATCCAAATGTGTGAACTCCAAAATTAGTTATTCAAATAGTCCGAGGGCAAGAGAAGGTAGAGAGTTTATTTCTATTTCTTCTAGATGAGGATTTTTCAAGTTTGGACAATATTGTTCCTCTGACTTTGTCAGGGTCACAGGCTGGATCTCTTGGAATATGCCACGCTACAAAATGTAATAGTTTATTGCAGCAGTTTGTCTTGTCTTTCCAGCTTTGTTTCAACACTGTCCCACCATGGTGGCCCCTAACTGTTTCACTTGGCTCACTTGACATTTTTCTAACCTCACCTGCTTGTTTCCCTTCCAAGGCGGATAGCTTTCAACTTGTGCTATCTTCTACATGGTTTGTGTATGCAAGGGAAGCATGGGAGTGGAGCATGGGCTAGGAATGTGGAATCAGAGGAAGACAGTGGGGGTACCCACAGTTCCTTCTTAGGGCCCTTCTGAAGACCTAATTGGGGAAAGTCTCCTAAGGGCTGTACAGGACGTTGTCCAGATGGCCCTCAGTGACACCTGTGTACACTGCACTGTTCTTTGTTCCCTCTTCCTTCCTTAGGTACCGCAAGCTTCCTAACTACCATTACCCCGTCATTACCAGTGACTGTCTGAATGCCTCCATCCACTTCCTGAAGACCCTGAAAACCTATGGTGTGGACCCTTCCCGGGTTGTGGTCTGTGGGGAAAGTGCCGGAGGAGGGATTGTGGCCCAGGTCACCCAGGCCTTGGTGGGCCAGAAAGATCTTCCCCAGATTCGGGCACAGGTCCTGATTTATCCATCTGTCCAGTGTATCAATTTCCAGTTACCATCTTTTCAGCAGAACCAAAATGTCCCATTCCTCACCCGGGACTTGATGTTGATGTGCCTTTGTAAATACGCGGCCATTGACCTCTCCTGGAGAGATGCCATGGTGAAAGGTGCTTGTGTACCCCCAGACACCTGGATGAGGTACAGGAAATGGCTCAGCTCTGACAACATACCACAGAGTTTCAAGAATAGATTCCAGGAACCCCAGTTTCCTGGGCCTTTTAATGAGGCTGCTTATTTGGAAACCAAACTTCTGTTAGATGTAGCAAATGCACCCCTCTTAGCAGATGATGAAATAATCGCTCAGCTTCCTGAGGCCTTCCTGGTGAGCTGTGGGAGTGATATCCTCCGTGATGACACCCTGCTCTACAAGAAGCGCTTGGAAGACCAGGGGGTCCCAGTGAGCTGGTACCATGTGGAAGACGGCTTTCATGGGTGCATACTTTTATTTGATAGGAAGCCTTTCTCTTTCTCTTGCTCTGTAAACATTTTAAATGCTGTAGTCAGGTACATAAAGAGCATATGTCAGTAACACTAAGGCCCTCAGTAGGGTGAGGCCAGGATAACTAAGCCATAGCTGGGGATGATGCTGAGTTCTGCTTTACACAAGATGCTAATCCATCATTGCCCAACAAGGAGGATAAGATAGAGTGAAGAGAGGTCTAGCTTTAACTTTAAGAACATGCAAACTCTGTTTCCTTTTCATACTACCAGGGTTCAGTTTTATGTCTAGCTACATTCTCTAGCAATTAGAAATAAATATCAATGGAGGAGAAAAACATTTTTAAAATTTTCTTTAAGCCTTAACCATAAGGTTTCTGCAGATGAACTGCCAAGAATGTATCCCACGGTCTTTGGTGAACACATATCCATGATGACTAAGCACCACTGGGTCCACATCTCTGGTGGAAGGAGGTAGTCACCACATTGTTCCTGGGGTCAAGGTCACTGATCACATCTCAGATGAGCATGTCTCCAACTGACCTGAGAAATGTTCCTGCAACTAAGCATGACTTGGATCAAGCCACCCTACAAAAGATGTAGAGGAGTTTTTGCCTAAGGTATACACAGGAAAGAGGCAAGAGGGGAGAAATGGTGAACTCTGGGGAACTAGGGGTTTTACCAGAACTCAGGTCTTTAATAAAGCCCCTAAGGCAGATCTCTGGCTGCCACAAGGAGTTTCTCAAAGTCAAGGCCATGTTGGGAAGTTCTGGAAGTGATGTGGGACAAGGATATGGAAAGTGCATTTTCTGAGGGAGGAAGTGTGGCCTCTTTTCTCGTTTAAGCTTTCGTGTTCTTCTCATTTCTAGAAAACACTCTTTTTTACTGATCAATCAGTGTCTCTGCTCACAGGGATAAGGATTCTCTGCTCATGATGCTGGTAAGGCCCATGGTAGCTGCATGGGCCCATGTTTGCATGATGCACCTGGAGGAGCCCTATGCCCTGTTGCTGGCCAGATTCACCCAAGTGATGGACCTGGAGGCTCTCTCTGGAAAACATAGCCTGCCTGGGTACCAACACTCTCACCTATGACTGACAAAGGAAGGGGTCTTTGTTGGCCCTTGGTCTTTGCAATAAGCATAGATATTTTACAGGCAACTGGGCTGGGTTCTTGTAGCCTCTGCAGGCATCATGATGCATGGGTTATATTTTAGCATCTTTGATAGCAGCGGGTATTGACTTTTCTGTTTTCATCTAACAGTAGCACTAAGTACAGATTTTCTAGTGCATCATAGTATACTTCCAGTACCTCACAATTTAAATGGTCCAGGGATCTATTCATGGCTTAGGTGGGCTCTTATTTTATGGATCTATGGGACGTGATATGGTGTTGGACGCAGTCACATTTGAGGCTCAGATGCGAAGGCTCTGTATCAAAGGTACCTAATTTGTAGGCAGAATACACTCTCTTCATATCAGAGACTGAAGTCAGCTGTTGGTCAGAGGTCTCCACCCTAAGTTTTTACACAGTGTCATGTCACATAACTTCAAATGGTGAGATTAATTCCTCAAAGGAACAACAGAGAGACAGATGGGACCCAGTGGCCAGCAGATCTAGTGTAATAAAACCAGGAACATAAGTCCCATCTAATTTGTTAGGAAATCAGGGGTCTTACTCACACGTGGGAATCACACAGAGTGAAATAGAACACATGGAAGTCAAGGGGTCATCGCAAAATTTGCCCTGTGCAGAAAGACACAGCAGAAGGTGACAGGAGGGCCAGTGAAACTCACTTGAAGCCTAGGAGACAGAAGCTGTTCTGCACACATGAGCTGTCCCTTTTGGTGCTGATGACAGCTTGTTGCACCAGGAGGGATCCTCTTACCTTCATCAGCTCTACCATCCTTCTCCAATAAAATCCTTCCCCTCTTTTTCCCTAGGGGTCCTCGGGGTTTTTCTGCAGCCTCATTGCAAATTATTCATGACAGCCACTCTTCCCTCAGGCCAGCCAGGGTCCCATCAGAACACAGAGGACACACAAGCTGACTGTTTTCCTCTTAATACTCTGTCAGACTCAGAGAAAAATGGAGCACTCTTGAAACCTCTTAACTTCACAGACCTGGCTGAATCTCCATCCAGGACCTGTAAGAGAAATCAAGGCCACAATTCCATGATCCAGAGAGCTTAATGTCACAATGGAAAAATTGATTAGGAAAAAAATGTCTGGATCATGGGATTCTTTTGAAGATTGAGCAAAAAGAGAGGTCTAATCTGGTCTAATTCCATCGTTTTACTGTGGGAGAACTAGGTCTTCAAAAAGCAGACGATTCACCCAAGCACGGAAAGTTTCAGAGTGTGGGAAGTTAGAGGCATCCATGAGGTGGTGCAAGAAAGGCAGAAGGCAACAATTTTAGGTAGAGGACTAATATCTAGAATATATTAAGAACTCAAAAAAATTAGACCACCTAAAATTAAAGACCTAGTCAAGAAATGGGCAAGAGAACTGAACAGACAGTTCGCAGAAGAAGAATTACACATGGTCAGCTGGGGATTTAGCCAGTGATTCCACGCTGCCTGCCTCACAAGCACAAGGACCATGTTTAAGCCCCAGTACCAAAAAAAAAAATTGCACATGGTCAACTGATACATGAAAAAAATGACATTTCTGGCCGTTAGAAAAATGCAAATTAAAACAATGCTAAGATTCCATCTTACTCCAGAAAGAATGACAATCTTCAAGAAATCAAACAATTACAAATACTGATGGAATGTGGTGAAAACAGAACTCTGTTACATTGTTGGTGGGAATGTAAACTTGTACCACCAGTACTGAAATCACTGTAGAAACATCAAAAAACTAAAATTAGAAATTCCGTGTGATCCAGCTACACCTTCTTCTAGGTATCTTTCTCAAAAGAGTTTAAAACAGTGATATATGCATACTAATGTTTATAGAAGCACAATTTGTAGTAGTTAAATCCTGGAAGCCACCTATGTGCCCATCAACAAGATGATTAGATAAAGAAAATGTGGTATCTGTATATAATGGAATACTACTTGGTGATAAACAAGGACAAATTTAAAACATCTGTAGGAAAATGGATGCATCTGGAAAATATAATGAGTGAAATAAATCAGACACAGTTTAAATACTGTATCTCTCATTTGAGTAAGGAAAAGTACAAACAGAGAATAATAAGGAAGGGAAGAAGGAGACAGGAGGATGATCTCTTGAAAACTGAAAAGGATCCAAGGGACCAAGGGTGAGGGTTGAGGCTTAAATAGAATAAAGATGAGCCATAAGCAGAATCATAATAACCTCAGTGAATGCAAACACCATATGCCATGAACATTAACTAAATTTAATAATGTCACAAAGAATGAAAATGGAGAAAGGTGAATTAGAGGAGGAGGTAGGGAGGTGAGGGGGGACTAAAAAAAAAAAGAAACAAGATATATTAAGTACATGTAACCACTCCTCAGGATGATTGTAAAGTGCATGCACTACAAACATATACTAATGAAAATTTAAAAAAATGATAAAAAAGAAAAGCAGAAGGGCCAGGTGAGCTCACCGAGGCTTTGAGGGCCATAAACAGAGCTAGAATTAACCTAATCCTGTAGCAAATAATTTAGATACTAGGGAAGGAAGCAACAAGATTTAGTTTGTGTTTTAGAAAAATTGTCCTGGAAGAAGATGGAAATGTTTACAGTGGCACAATTTGTAATAGCTAAAGCTTGGAAACAGCCCAAATGCCCACCAACTGGAGATTGGATAAAGAAGATGTGGGTTTTTTTTTTGTTTGTTTGTTTTGAGATGGGGTCTCACTATGTAGTTCAGACTGCTGTGGAACTCACTGTGTAGTCCAGGCTGGTCTTGAACTCACAATGATCCTCCTGCCTCAGCCTCCTGACTGCTGGGACTACAGGCGTGTGCCACCATACCTGGCCTCTCAGGTATTTTGTTACAGTAACAGAAAACTAACACAGACAGCCTCTTCACCATCACTATCTTATACTTTTTATTTTAACACCCTATTAATCTATTGATTTCCTTTATTAAAGAAAGGAAGGTCCTTTTATCAGTTTTGGGCCACACTATTGATTATTTATGAGGAGTGAGCTACTTTTAACCTATCACAGGCCAGGTTGCCTTTTATGGGTCCAGCCCTGCAGAAACAGGTTTCAACTTCTCTGTCTTGCTGTGGCCTTGGTGGAAGGGAAACTAAAGATAAGAGCATGAGGTCATTTTAGGAGCCAAGAAGTACCAGGAAAATGCAGCCTGTGATGGCAGTGTCACAGCATACTTTAATATGATCAATTCCCTAACAGTCCCTTACTGTTTTACAGTAAACTTTCCTGGTGACTATTTACAATCCTGTCTTCTATATCTGATATTCTTTCTTTACGTTGTCTCATTCTGCTGTGCAAACTTTCAGTGGAGTTTTTAATCTTCTGGAAATCTGTTCACATCTGTTTCATTGATTCCATTTGTTTCCTATGCTGTGATTCCATCATTTTCCTCAGCTCCTCTATTTTTTAATCTGTGTCTGCTCTAGATTTATTAATCATGTCTTGCACTATGGGCACAGTCTCTGCTGTTATCTGAGGAATTATTTATTTGATTTTTTCCAGATCTTCTTTTGTTGCCAATTCAGGGAGTCTATATGGTTGAGTATCAGATTGCTCCATCTCATTTCCCTTTGGGGTTGCCTTAGGTGATCTACAAGTCTGGTTTTGGGAATTGTTTGTGTCTTCTCATTTCAACAGATGCAGCCTGCTGCACCTTTGTTGAAGCAACTTTTTGCTTTCCCAGTGGGCTTCAGTTCTCAAGAAGCCTCAGAGAGTCTGTTGCTCTGCTCCTCACCACTGCACCAATTCTTGGGATCAGAATGGTGGCCTTCTGGTTTCCTGGGCTGCGCTGTGGTCCAGGTGGCGTTCTGGCTAGGACCTGTGCACACGTAGGATTGTATCTGGGTATGTCTCTGGCTTGGCTCTGCTGTTGTCTGGGAGGGCCTTTGGCTGGGGGCTGTCTACCCAAGTCTCTTGTGTCTGAGCAGGCTCTTGGCTGGGGTCTGTGAGCATTCAC